TGTCTGCAAACTCATCCAACCAACACTAGTACGGGTTCTTTAATATTCCCCAGATTAAATGATACGCGCTTCGCAGATTCCCCTTTCCACAAAAGCATTAACTATATATGCAGGGCTCTTTCTTTTGATCACAAAAGTATATACACCTTAATTTGTTCCTTTTGATCGCGGTTACTTACTAAAGCGTTTTCGTCAATTAAACCTGTGTCTCTGTCTACTTGGTTTAGGGCCTTTAGGTTTCAGTTGTTTAACTCAAGTTTTATTTTCCTTCCAAAATATGTGGAACTGGGATCCCATCTGCTTTTGTAGGACGACTGACTACCTTTCTTCTTCTTCTTTCTTCCCTTTTTTTTTTTCTCTTTCCTTCGTTCTTTTTTGCAAGCTAGCTTTGTTCATTAACTGAAGCAGCCAATAATAATTAAGGAGATTTCACCAAGGATGATTTCACCAAGTTTGTATGTCAGATTTTGAGCGACACGGGCTGGTATTTCCTAGGTTTTGTTACCCTTTTTTCGTCTTTTTGAAGAGGGCATGCATGGGAGGTATCTGCTCGCCACAACAACAGAGTCGTTTTCTCTTCTTCCATAAATAAATAAACGACAACAAAAGATGTAAAATTTCAATCTCTGAAAAAGTCAGATTTGGGGCCATGACATACTTATTTCAGTTTAGCTGTATTAGTTACAAATCTAATGTAGTCCTTAATATACAAGCGACCACCAGTAGCAAACAAAGATGAACTAGGTATACGGAGTCAGGGATACTGACCCTCATCCTCTTCTATTGAGTTTTTATTTTATTTTTATCTCTTCTGTTGAGTTGGTTGAAATTGTCCCAAATAATAATAACAATAACTAAATATATAATAGAAGTTTGATACAAAGTTTATTTCCGAACAACAACCGGTTCTAAAGGATAAACCTGAGTACGTATGTATGTATGCATGTGGATAAGATGGAGTATATGTAAAACATGAAGGATGGATGGATGGATGGAAGTGAAACCTGCAAAGAAAGCGGTCGAGCCTTGGTCTTGGGCATTTTGTAGCTGATATTGTCGTTGTTGGAGCTTTTGGGGCGATAGTGGTTGGAGTCTTGATGACGATGATATTGAAAGAAACAGTAGGCAAGAGCTGAGACGACAAAGCCAAATAGCCTTTCCGGTAGGTTAACCATTGCCAACAGGTTCCTTCTCTAGATATATATACTACACCTACTATGTAAGTAACGTTATGTAGAGTTACATTAATTAGGAAAGAAGAAAGGAGAGACGCATGGGAAAGGGAAGAACCCATAAGTAGTAGAAGGCATCATTGATGAGGCTGGCAAATGCTCTATTAAAAATATTCCTCCAATCCTAAGGCGCCTCTTCCTTCAGTCCTAATATTCTCTTACGGAGTAGTTTTTTTTTTTTTTTCTTCTTCCTCTTGGTAACATATTCCCTTCTCCAATTCAACAAAGCTAAGTAATCAAGCTGATCATGATATGACAGTACCACTTTCCCTTTTGTTACCAGTTTCTTGCCTCCACGGGAATGGTGAGTGTTTAATTAACAGATTATTAGTCGCCAGACCTACGAAGCATATTTGAGAATGAATAGGCACGTGAGCGTTGTGTACATACTCAGTGCATGCAGAATACTTCCAATCGAATCGACAGGTTTATTCTTTTGTTCTAAATACCGAAGCCAGTTCTAAAAAGCAGGGGGAGTGGAATCCAAAACCTGGAATTTTTTATTTTATTTTTTTAATGCCTGGAATTGTGTGGGGTTAGCTAAAGCTAATATGGCTGCTGACATTGGAAAAAGAATATCAAGCCTGGTGGGAGATGGATGGGCTTAAGGAAGTAACAGACGGGCTTTGATGCGAAGGAATCAAATATTTCTTCAAAATCTCCTCTTCTTTTCTTTGTATTTTTTCTGTTTTGCTTCAATATCTTGCACAAGTAAACCGAGCCATGCCTCGGATGTATGTATATATATACATATAGTTGATCCCTTTACGAAATAACAGAGAATTCGAATAAATTCCTTAACAGTACTCGCTTCATCGCCCGTGTACTGGTCTTTCCCCGGCCGATTTATGATCGCTTTCTTTCCTTCTCTCTGTCTTTTTTGTTATGTAATGTATGACATTAACTACGTACTAGGAGGGTTGAGTGTGTAAACATCTGGACATACATGGGATTCTTCTTCTTATGTATAAAGTATATTAGGTTTGACAGATAATTGCGATCGATGTGGTACGTTGTACGAGCTAAGAGGATCTGATGCTTTTGGTTCATGCCTACCATTATTATTGTTCTATATACTCGCTCCAAATCTGACTCTGAGTATCATCACATGACACGAACGAGTTATATTAAATACAAACAATTGTTCGGGTCTGTGGGCAACGAACGATAAAAGAACATCCGGTCTGCCGAAGAACTGTGGATAACAAGACTTGTTCCTAGTCTTAATAAAGTTATATTATTGAAGCAAAGAGAATTAGGTTCTGGTTCGTCATTTGGTGACGCAAAAGTACTTGCTGCTTTGTAGACTGTTCCTATCTTTGATTATCCGGGATTGTCACAACATCACTTTGTTATCCCCTCTTCCATTACACCATCTCTGCCATACATTACACTCTGTAGAGTATAATAGCGTGGATCCACAATCAAATTATATATTTATTTTAATAATTCACACAATACATGTCCCGTAAAATTTAAAGCTTCTAAAATTATCAAATCATGACCGTTACACTTTCAGTATGGGAGCTATTGCACCCCATTGTGGATGGGGATGAGGTATCATTTCACGTCTTCATTTTGTCTTTGTTTCCTATTTCGGCTCTAATATCTACATTCCGCATGTAGATTATCACCAAAAGTTCAATTCCGTGTTTTCTGATTTCTTATTTCACTTTGTTTGAATATGAATCAAATCTTTTTCCTTTTCCAATAGCCATACGCTCTTTCTTCAATTCAGTTCTCTATCGACCAACACAATAAAACGACAAACCAAAAAAAAAAAAAAAGGAACCCAGAAAACTTATGGACCTTTTCACCAATTTAATATTTTGGAAATGCTCTTTTTTTTTTTTAATCCAAACTTCAAAATGAGAGATAGGAAGTAGAAATGCTATCGAGTCAAGCCAAACTCGAGTAGTACCATACTTGAGTTGGAGCTCGAAGGTTATGGGAACTACTCGAGCTCGAATAAACCCCTGACTCCAAACTCGAACTCGACTCGATGTAGTTGAAAAAACCTCGAGCTCAAATTCGAGCTCGTACTCGTATAAGATCTGAGCTCGATTACTCGATTTAATCTCAAAAATGAGCTTGAAAACCTTTGTTAAATTAGATCTTTTCCTTCTTAATGTTTTCAAATTAAGTTCTCTAAAAACAAGAAATAAGAAGTATGATTTTATGAAATCCCTGCTTTGTCCAAACAAATAAATAAAGGTGTTAGAATGGTTCATTGTAAATTTAATAAGTTGCTTATCTGTATTAGTAATTTTCTATATATTATATATAATTTTTTTATTTTATTATGAGATACTCGATAGAGCTATATTATATATATATTTTTTTTATTTTTTTATGAGATACTCGATAAAGTTCGTCGAGTTCTTGAGTATCTCATAACTAGACTTGAGCTTGACTCGCTATTTCTATTGCTCCTCGAGCTCGATCAGAGCAAGCTCGAGCCAAACTGCTAATCGAGTAGCTCCCGATCTCGAGTCTAGCTACTTGGATCAGATCCACCCCGAATAGGGAGGATATGAGAGTTGAACTAATGATCTCAACTTAAACCATATCCAAACTTAAAAAGGTGTTTTGGAGATACTATACTATAATATTATATATGAAAAACTTTTATTATAGTTATTTGTTGAGGTGTTTTTGAAATGTAAAATCTTATTGAAGTATTTTTAAAAAAATTAAAAAAAATTCACCACCCATCACCCCTTCTCTCCTCCCTCCTCCACCTCCACTGTCACCCTCCTCTTTCCTCTCCTCTTCTTCTTTCTCTCCTCCCCTTGTTCCTCCTCCTCCACCCTCCTCTCCCTTCCCCACCACCCGCTCCCCTATGTTTGCATTTTTTTAGTATTTTTGTAAGTTATACTTGAGATGTGTGTTTTTGAATTATATTTAAAATTTATTATTGTAGATTCTACACATAAAAATAGTTTGTAAAAACAAATGATAATCCAAATAGAGCCATTGGTTTTTGTTAACAATCGAAAAACAATTCAGGACATGACCATCTATCCGGCATCCAGCGTCTTTGCAGTTTCACCGGCAACAGCAAAGTGCGATAGAAGGCCCAGATTGGGCGAGCTTGGCTCGGGCCAACTTGGACCATTAATCTCAAAATTTTGTAAAGTTATGCTCAAATATATTAAATTTAATATTTTAACAATTAAATTACTTAACAATTTAAATTTTAAATTTTAAATTTTCAAATTTCAATTTTATCAAAGTATTTAGTGATAAGTTGAATCCAGTCCGACCCTATTTTTGATCTATGGTTTGACCGGACTTAGACCTCTGGATCGAAGTTACGCGGGCCTCCTGCAACGGAATCCGTGGAGCTACAAACCGGGACAACACGTGCGACTAAGGTTGACAAACCAGGACAATTACGTGCTACTTGCTTAATACAGAGAGCAGGGGATGCTAGGGATTGGTTTGTACGACATTCCAGAAATTTTTATCAACTCTTTGATCCAGCATTATTCGCCGCCAGGGATCTGTTTTTGTTTTAGTTTTTTTTTTCTCCTGAAGAAGCAAATGAAGAAGAAGAATATTTACTATGGTGTATCATTTTGGCAGAATTTAACACTTAATAACATGCATTTTTTTTTTATTCAGGGGGAACATGCATTCTTACATGTACAAAAAGGAAAAAAAAAACCACAATTTCATATACAGATCTCTGTAATAGTAGTACTAGTAATCAAATTCTAGGAGGCTAGCAGCTAGATATATGTAATATACAAAAGAGAAAAGGAAAACGAAAAAGAAAGAAAAATATTTGAAAATTGCTAAAACAGAATAAGAGGGAGGCCGGGGGCTAACATTGGGCTTGCAGGATCTTATTAGTTGACGGATGGATTCTAGTACGAAAAGTGTGCATGGATCAGGACTGAGGAAGAGGGCATGTGATGTCGCGAGAAGCACGAGGAGGAGGGGGAGGCGGAGGCGGAGGAAGAGAAGGAGAAGAAGAAGCAAAGGGAAGATTACGGAGAATGAGAAAACGAACCCGCGGATGGAAGGGGAGGGGAGCCTGGTTGAACATATGCTCCAGCACCCTAGCCACCAACACCGTGTACTCCTCCAACAGCTCCGCCACTATGGCCACCAGTATCATACTAGTATCAGCAGTTGTTTTGTGTACCGAATTGCGAAACAACTAGAGTAGAATATTATATAATTAGCCAAAGATCCGAGGACAGGAGTCGTGTGGATTATGAGGTGGAGTTGGATGTAGAAGTAGGAAGTAGAAGCAGCTTAATTCCAATTGAGAATTGCGACCGTTCTGGGAAATTCCGTCTGCGGCTCCACCGAACTACTACTACTAGTACTATATTGGGGTGTGGATTGGGGGACTGCTAATACTAATAAATATAAAAGAAAATTACAATGTATAAATCTCAGTCAACTTCCAAAGCCTGCTGGGATTTTATATCAGTAGGAGTATATATTCAGGAAACGTGCCATGGTGTAGCAGTAAGCAGCTACGCGCTAAATCCATGGGCTGGGCAGGGCAGCCGGAGATGGAAGTGGTGGTGGTGGTGGTATTCAAATCCATGTCCTGCTTCTTTTTTTCAATTGGGGATGGTGGCTTCTAACTATCTGTCCGCTGGAGCAACTAGTAAGCAGCAGCAGTCACTCTGGAATTTTCTAGGTCGGGGGGTGGGGGCAGCGAAAAATGTATAATTTATTTATTTATTTTGGTAGAATATGAATGGATCATAATTAGATTACTACGTAATTAGTAGTGCATCCGTGACTGCTGACTATATGTATTATAATTATCATCATTTATTATGCAATGCCTATCCAACGGCTGCAGTTGCTAATCAGCACTCAGCGGTAGTAATCAATCCTATCCGCTAAGAAAGCGAAGCGGACCCCAAATTTCTGACTTCCTTTTTCACTCATCCCTCTTTTTTGGCCTTCTTCTCGTTGGAGTCCACGTGCTTCGTAGTTCGTCCTATCTCTTGACAACAAGTACTTCCATCGCATACGGAGTATAAAACAAAAAATTCTACGTCCATCCATGAATGCTGCACCCGTCCCCCTCCCTCGGCCCTCTCCAGTGAAATTCTGTTCAATTCACTTCAGTTATTGTAATCTCACTTCAATTGAAGTTGGTGAAATCTGCATGGATTGAAGCTATCTAATGCAAGCATTTCCTCTTGCCTCTCTCTCTCTCTCTGCTCAGTTTGATTAGTATAAATTAAAATTTATATATAAAAATTTCCTGTTAGAATAGTTTGATTCAAGTTAAGCTCGATAAAAGCTCATTTGATTCGATAGATAAATAACCAATCTTTAATACAATTTCAAACTCATTAAATTAACCAAGCAAACTTGAACACTGAGGCTATGTTGAATTATAATTTTTTCAATTACTTTTTTATTTTACATACATCAAATCACTGCAATACATTCTTTTAAAAAAAACTCCTATAAAGTGTTCGACTTGGTTAACTTGCATTCACACCATTACAAATATTAAATAGCACCCTCCATGAGTGTACAAATGGAGGAGAGTTTTTTTTTTTTTTTTTCTGAAGCGGGGGGAAAGGGATATATAAGGTTGTGTTTGGATTGCATTTTCCGTCATTTTCATGGAAAAATTACTGTAGCGATTTGATATATGTGAGGAAAAAGGTGATAGGGAAATGTGATCACGGAAAACGATAATATTTTTCCGACGAAAACCTTCAATCCAAGCAAGGCCAAATTTTTCACAGACAAGAAGTACAACACAAATGAAGCTACATGTTTATCAACATATAAGACTAACAGCCGAAGGATGGTTACTGTTCATAAGCTTTTCGTCGTCCTCACGTGCCGAAGGAAGGTCCTCACGTGGTTCTTTTTTTTTTCTTTATCTTCCCTTTCCGTCTCGTCTCATCTCATTAATGCACCCCACCTGCTTTTCCGTCTCCTCTGGTTCTTTTCTAATATCTTCCCTTTCACCTCTTTTCATATCTTCCCTTTCACCTCTTTTCATCTCATCTCATCGATGCACTCGCATGCTTTTCCATTTTTTTATTAGACGATGGATTTTATCCTTTGGATTTATGGCCTCCGTCTTTTACCTGAGATTTCTTCTCTTCTACCCAGCAATTGGAGGTATCTCATTAATGCACTGCTCTGGTTCTTTCTTAATATCTTCCCTTTCACCTCTTTTATCTCACCTCATCGATACACCGCCGCATGCTTTTCCATTTTTCCTTCTCCGTCTGCTGTGGTTATGAATGAGTGTGTTGAGAATCTTTTTCTTATTAATTGGAGTAAGGCGTATTACACGATGGATTTTATGTCCTTTTCGGGATTTCTTCTCTTCTGCCCAGCAATTGGAGGTATCTCATTAATGCACCTCGTTTTTCCCACGTGCTTTACCTGAGATTTTCAATTCGGAGTATTCCACAAATGTCTTGAGAATTACAATTAATATCTTTGATGCTATCATAATCCATTAACATTTAGTAATACATTCTGTTGTCTGCCAAAGTAGGGGGGAAAAAAAAGTCTTCTGCCCGATGCTTATTAATTTAGGAATTACTAATGAATGACCGACAATTTGGAAATAGGCGGCTGGTAGGAAATAGGTAAACAACCCGCGAATGGAACGGAACAAAAAGAGCCTTCAACTGGTATTAGCTCAACTTCCATTCCAATATTCCATGACGTACGCGCAATTTGATTTGTCAAAGCCTGGATCACGTACGCTATTTAAACTTCCATCCGGGCCAAATTAACTCTCAGTGCATTTTGCGACAGCGAAATAAATGGCTAGTGAGAGATCATTTGCAGCAGATCAAGAACGTCGGGAAGGTGCAGAAGTTGTTTATGGAGCTGAAGCATGCTATCAGCACTCCATACAACTCCTTGAAGAATTGGGGTTTCCTAAGGGAGTGCTTCCCCTGCAGAATCTGGAAGAATGTGGAAGAGTTCGGGCAACTGGGTTCGTGTGGATGAAGCAAAAAAAGCCGTATCAGCATTTCTTTACTGGGAGCAATACCCTCGTAAGCTACGCAACTGAGGTGACTGCCTACGTAGAGAAATTCAAGATGAAAAAGATGACTGGAGTCAAGAGCAAGCAGCTTCTTTTATGGATTCCTATTGCCGAAATGAGGATTGATGATCCGGATCATAAGAAGATTCACTTCAAAACTCCCGTGGGAATTGGGAAATTCTTCCCCATCACGGCTTTCATGACCCAAGAGGAGAAGCGCAAGTACTCGGAAAGCACCGGAGAGTAGAATTCATTCAGTGGATGCCGCCAAGGATCCAACCAACATATTGGTTATTGCTACTATTCAATATTAATATTCATTCCACACCCTACGTTTATGCTCATCTCAATAATAATATACTACAATTATTGCTTCTTTTTCCTTTCCTTTTTCTTTCAAAGTAAGTTGTAAGTTGTTATTACCATATGTAAAATCACGTTATGCTTAATTAAAAAAAAATTTATTGTTAAATAAAGTTATTGTGTTTAAAATGATGTGGAGAAAAAAGGAGAGGCCAGTATTTTAAAGAGTTTTTTTTTTCTATTTGTGTACAATGCAAGATGGTATAAATTATTTATACTGTTTTATAAATATTATGAATATATTTCTCAATCATTTTTAAATACATAAACTAATAAATAACTAGTAGGTAAGAATTCAAGAAGGCTCTAACTACTTGAACTCAAATAGCAGCACGCATAAAATGCACCAAAATCTAGTTGGCGGAAATAGGAAAGAAATGGAGCCAACTTCAACCGAAAAAAAAGAAAAGAAAAAAGAAGGATGATTCTTTTCTTCAACTTTTACGTTGGGTCCCAACCACTCGTCTCTCCGCAACCCATATCTCCAACTTCCCCATGGCGAGAGCCTATTTTTACATAGGCTCCGCCACTGCCACTTCCACCCCGCTCTCCTCCTCCCCCTTCCGCCACCGTAAACTTCCAGCTCACAACCATCGCTCTTCCCCTCCTCTCCGCTCCTCAACCAACACTACCACCCCGTTGACAATGTCCAACCAACCTACCCCTCACCCCTCCCTGGAAGTTATCGGTGGAGCTCGGGACTCATTCCTCCCAGCATTCACAAGCCTTCACACCCCTTATCATCCTTACCCTTTTATCGCTTGGAATAGACACGTGGAGACCATCTTTGCCGCGTTTTTTCGTTCGCTCCCTGATATCAAATTCCGGCGTGAGTGCCTCCGTACAAAGGACAACGGCACCGTTGCACTTGATTGGGTCTCCGGTGACCGAACTCGCTTGTCTGCCGTTGCCCCCGTCCTCATTTTGCTGGTAAGCGAGGAGTGCTTCATCCACAGTCCCCCTTTCCTGTCCTGGTTTTGGTTTACAAGTCATTGGTTTAGTTGCGAGCGTTAATTTGGTTAATTGGTGAATTGGTGGGTTGCAGCCAGGTTTGACAGGAGGGAGTCAGGACTCGTACGTGAGGCATATGTTGGTGAGAGCAAGGAGCAAAGGATGGAGGGTTGTGGTGTTCAATAGCAGAGGATGTGGTAATAGCCCTGTCACCACTCCTCAGGTACTACTACTGTTCCTCCTCGAGTATCCTACTCAAGTTGCAATCTTTTTTTTAATCACTTTTCCGTTACTTGGTGCTCATCGTTAATGTGAATCAACTTTGAACTTGATCAATTAGTCTTTTGTGCGTATAACAAAGAAGATTTAGCTACAACTATAATAGCCTTTTTTTTGGCTTGAATTGGACAAAGAGAATTTATGCTACTTTATTTTGCAAGAATCTTCGAGCTGACTTATTTGCAGTTCTATTCAGCTTCATTTCTCGGAGATATGTCAGAAGTAGTGGCACTTGTCAACAACCGGTATCCGAAAGCCAATGTCTATGCTGTTGGATGGTCTCTTGGCGCCAATATTCTTGTTCGTTATTTGGGTCAGGTATTCCAACTAACTTTTGATATCCTCTCACCCTTTCAGTTTCAAAATTTTTTGTTTCCCTGATCTAAAATAACAATGTGGCGATGCTAATATGTGTTAAAGAGCTTATTAGGCTAGTGAGGTAGATGTTATTTCAGGCAATGAGTACTTCCATCACAAGTTATAGGTTTGCAGGTGTGATTTTCTGTTTTATTTGGGAAGGGTAGGGACACAAGGACTCTCCCATCTCAAGCGCACAAACAGATTTTTTTTTAATCATAAATGACGAGGTATATGAAGTGCTTTGTATTCACTGGCAATAAATTATAAGTGACTAGTTGTTTGAGAATTTCATGCTTTAACATCTGCAACCCTTTGCAGAAGTTTGTGGGAAAATTAAAAAAAGGTAAAAAGAAAATAAAAACTTTCATGAAACAAGAATAGAAGAGATGCAAGAAAACAAAAGCTCTTTCTTTAGTTGTATATGGGAGGTTAGGAGATTAAAGAAGGTCATATTCATTTTTTTCTTAATATGACAGCTTAAGCAAAACTAAGAAAAGAAAACCTAATTAGATGGTGTTGTGTTGAACTTAAGTTTTGCTATCTTGCTGCCTTTTGGTGCACCATATTTGATAAAGTTAACTCTTTTGGTTCTTTTAAGTTCCATCAACGAAATTGAGAAGATAAAAGCTCTTGTACTTCAAGTCAACAACATTACCTTGATTATCCATGGCATATAGTTTGTCTGTGCCATTTTATGGACAAAAGAGTTGGTGATAGATGGGATAATAAGTGTTCAGGAGAAGGATGCTGAACAGCACTAGAAAGGGCAAACATGCCAAAAGTTATTCATAACTGCACGTTACACAAACCAATAAATGTATCCCAAGAGCTAGTTCTATGACACCATGAAAGGGTTGAAAAGACTTTCTTTGTGTTGGATGAGGATGTGTATATCTGTGGTTCTGTTTCCTGAAATAGAATACAAGGGGCCTGCCCATGGAGCATATGATCAGATATATCATGCCAAGTATCATTTCCTCTCGTCACTTTTGACAGTTATTCTTCATGAACGAAAAAAGTTCAACCATGATGACAAGACCAACTGGGACAAGTGCTGTTAGCAGTTTCAAGTTTTCATGTTGTAATACTGCAGATGTCATAGTAAAAATGTTATTAAATGTCTGTCCAACTAAGAGTCTGGAAGCTTTGTTTCTTCTTAACTGTGTCCATTCATTAGTAACTGATCTATTTTGTTTCTCTATCTCTGTCGAGCTGTGTTTACCTTCCTTGCAATGCAAAAGTCATGACTCTTTCTTAGCAACTAAATTTTACATCTATACTGAAGAAAGCCACTCACCTTTTAGAAATTATTTCTACTATATCTAGATACTGAGATTATTCATACTTGAAAGGGTTGTCAGTTTATCTGCAGGAAACTTGTTTGAGGTGTAAATGCTTCATTCACATCCAACTATAACTTTTGGACATTGCATTAATACAAATGTGGGCTTCTAGCTGACTCATTTCTTTGCAAGAGGAATTGAAATTCATATTCAATAGCTTCTGGCTATCAAATTTTATAAGTCTCAGTTGTAACTTCTTCTATTGCTACAGGAATCTCGATCCTGTGTTCTTTCTGGTGCTGTATCATTATGCAATCCTTTCAACTTGGTCATTGCTGATGAAGATTTCCGTAAGGGCTTTAACATTGTTTATGACAAATCTCTAGCAAATGGTCTCTGCAAAATTTTCACCGAGTAACTCACCAATTCATTAAGTTTCCCCTATTCCTAATTATGTGTAATTTGGTTATCATGCTTTCCCACATTGGTTCAAGGGATATATCCATTGCCTTTGCAGGCATGCTCCTTTGTTTGAAGAGATGGATGGTGAATACAATATCTCAGCAGCTGCCAATGCCAAATCTGTCAGAGAATTTGATGAAGCTCTAACACGAGGTAACTAATACTTGTGCTGGAATAGATTGTTGATATGCATCGTTACTTACTGGCTGCTTCAACTTCTTTTCGTAATACCTGCAGTGTCATTTGGATTCAAGTCAGTGGATGACTATTACTCGAATTCAAGCAGTTCAGATTCCATAAAGAATGTCTGCATCCCTTTGCTCTGTATTCAGGCAAGAACATTCTGATGATATATCGTATTTTTTCAAAGAAAATCTTTTTGCTCTGTATATCCCAACAATACTGAAGAATGCATGATATGTTTTACAATCCTATCAGTTATGTAGAATAAAACTGCAGTGCAAGGAAGAATACTGTTGATATGCTTCTCTAAGTTTTTTTTGGTAGTTTTGGAACTTACCTAAGGAACTTTATGTGGCAATTCAAAAATTTCTGCTTCCTTTTTCATTTGACTATTCCCCAGTCAACCCTAGGCATCTTCTTATTTTGAAGCACTAAATTGTTGATTTATCTTTTTTTAATGATTGAGGATAAGGAGCATAATGGGTGGAAGAATGATAAAATTGTTGGGTTTTACTACTCCTGTTTGAATTATGTCAGCCAAAAGTAAAGCAGTATTACGAAAATAATTGTTTGTATATGTTGCCTACAGGCTGCAAATGATCCAATTGCTCCTTCTAGAGGAATTCCTCGTGAAGATATTAAGGTATGCACAACTTTTCATGTGTATTGTCAAATGTTGAGTAGAAGTTGGTTAATTTTTTCAATTTATCAGAGAGAATGTCTCGTGTGCTCATCTAAAAAACAGGATTGACAGATGTTATTTTTCGGCACTTCTAGTGCTGGCAGTGGACTATTGGTGTCACATTTAGGCAACTATCAAAATGTTTGGTAACTCAATATATTGTTTATGTTAAGGACAATAATTAAAAGAGCGATGATGCAGTCAATTGGTTGTGTCATCCATGAATATGTATATGGCTGGAACTCAGGAATTGTACATATATATGGATTTTTCCTTTGACTATGTAAAAAAAATTTTCAATAAAGAAAATCCACCTATACCCTTATATGGCGCACGGTATGATGATGATTATGAATAGATTGGTCTAGCGAAGTATCTTAGACAAACTTTGCTGTTGACACTAGTGCAAAATGGAGAAAACTGAGATATTTGTTACTCCTTTCGCTTTTCGTGTTCAATTTGGTCGATATGAGTTCTTGGAGTAATGATGTTTTTATTTAGCTCATCTTATTGGGCTGGTCCCAATTCTGCTGCCAAATATCAGTTTACTTCCCTTTTTTCCATGAGTTTTTTTTTATTGTACCATATCCCAGGTGCTGAATCAAAACTGTCATTCTTTTACTTGGCCTACATAGACGTGTTTATGGCTCTGTTGTACTTCATTTATTTTGATGCCAGTTGAAGTTCTCCAGATAATCAGCATTTTGCACTTTTACTTTTTTTCTCAATATCGCAACAACTTGGCTGATTTCTCTTGTATTGGCCATCTGTTTTGTTTAACAAATCCTTTGTTCATACCTTCTTATTTCTCCCTCAGGTCATTTTGTACAAAAGTTTAATATTAGAGTCTAGCTTGCTTATAGCTGACTAAGTACTTATTTCTGATTTCCATCAAAGAGCTCTAAATACAGCTTAGATGCACTTCTAAACCTTTTGCTTTGGCTTTTACATTATTTATAGTAATATGTTTCTATATTGAGGTGATTGGCATTGCCCAAAAATAAAAATAATAGATGCCTTGGTTTTTTATGCGGCTGATAACCTTTCCATCTCCTAGTACTGAAATTTTATGCTACCATCTTTAAGGGGAAAAGATGATGAAATATATCTTGAGGATGAGCATGTTTTGACGCAGGAATTCACTAATACTGATCATTGGGACAAAGGGAAAAGGTTGAAAAATCTTTACGGTTTAGTTTTGAAAACCAGCAAACTTTGGTTATTATTGAAGATAGGACCGTTTGCATCTATCTCACATACTAGTTTTCAGTGTTTTCTTGTACTTTGTGGAACCATCAAGTCCGGTGGATAAGTATGACGAGAAGTACCGAGATATTTTTATGTTATAGGGAGGGTCTTATTGACTTTTGAAACATACAAATTGGATAGCGACAAGGGTGCTGACTGTAACCCATTTGATTTGATTCCTATTCCATTTCTCACTCCCTCCTCAGGGGAGTTTGTTGTTTCTTCTCATGGAGTGCCGTATGCTTTTCATGGATAATGATGCCTTTTATCATTCATTATAAGGGAAAATAATACTACTCCATGTAATGTGCCCAGACGGTGTTGTCATTTTCCAACGGATAACTTAGCTTGGGAGAACCAATAAATGAAATATAGACAGGCATTTGCATTTCCTTTGGTTCTTGGTTTTTTTTGTTATGAAAAGCATGCATGGTGTTATTAAAAATCCTATGAAAAGCATGATTGATTGAGTTTGCTCTTCCTCCCAAAGGCAAACTCGAATTGCTTGTTAATAGTCACACCCAAAGGCGGTCACCTAGGATGGGTAGCTGGTGGTGAAGCTCCCAGAGGGGCGCCTTGGACTGATCCCCCGGTGATGGAATTTCTTGAACATCTGGAGCGTGTTGCTGCTTGCTCGAGCGTCGGATCGGGTGGCCTGCAAAACCTCCAACATGTTGAGGCATCCCTTTATTGATCTCTCGAGAAATTACAAAGAACGGGTACGCTACCGTCCAGGACGTCAGATCGGTTTCACCCGTTCATTGTATTGTGTTGGAATCGTTGATTCATTTCATTCATTATATGCATTTATGGATGTTACCTCAAGATGAAGGATGTGAAAAAATGTAATGGAGATCTCATGCAAATATGTATATCATTTCCGACGAGTCTATCGCTCGCTGACGTCTGACGTCTGACGTGTGCGCGCGCGTAATGTTGTTTTTTTATTTTTTATTTTTTTATGACAACAGTCAAAACTTGATGAGTAGTACTACTACTATCTCAAAACAAAAAATTGCGATCCCATTTCCATCTGTTTTATCCGCCTCTTCACTCTTCTTCAAAATGATGATAATCTGGCACCAGTGGGTGCGTGCGTGTCTCTGACCACTCAGCAGGGCAGATTTGATAATTTTCCATCTTATCTTAATAATAATAATAATAACAACATAGGGATGGGAAATAGGTTCGAAACAGCATTAACGTTTGGAGATTCTTCATGTGGCAAAGCCTTGAAGCAATGGTGCTGTTACCGTGGCTGCCAAAACTGGAACCACGCACATATCAGCATCACTATCCATATGATATCCATCCAGGTGGAGATTTCAAACTTGGACGATTTAATGTATGTGGCCCGATATCCCAGCTAAGTTCCCTTCCCTGGGGTTTCAGTTCATGATTTTCTGCCATCCGAAGACTAAACAACAACCATCCATCATCCATGAGCAGGGTTCCTTGCAATTTGGAGGAATGCTCGTCTCTCTCAGTTGACTTTGTGTTGTCGTTGACTCCTGATCGTTGCCGGCTCTTGCAGTACTATATACTCCTGGTACGTGTTTAAAGCATGGCAATCCAACGCATAACCCTTACCCTTATCTTAGCCAAAACTTGCGTGCGGTCGAATGTTGCAAGTTCCCAGCAGAGATGCCTTCTCCTAAGTTTTCTTGGCATCAATCATTATCCTTTTTCTTTTTCTTTTTCTTTTTTTTTTTTGGAGTGGAAGCTGAGTCCAACCGTGAAAATTTTTTTCCGCCATTGAAAAGTCCAACCACACTGTTGGAGCAATAATAATAATTTAGATACCAAATAAGTAGCAAGCAGTAACACTACAAATTTCCTTTCAAAGGAAATGCAGAAGTGGTTAAAAGTCGTTGGTGAGTTGTAAAAGGTAATAGTCTTGGTGTTTCCTCTTCTAGTTTTCTCAATTCCACATCGATTGTGAGTGGTGTGTATGCGTAGAACTTAAGTTCCTCGGTGTGGCCTGAAAGTCAACATGCTTTTTGGGTTTAACTGTGGGTTTGACTTAAATTCTGGATGTGTGTGTTATTTGCGGTTGGTTGAGAATAATACTACAAATTATCCAAAGTTCTCAATACCGCCCTTTTGCTCTGCCATAAATCATCATATTACCCTATGACTTAACCTAAAACTAAAAGCAAAAGAGAAAAGCAAAAAACAGAAGCGGAAATACGGCGGGTAGCGGATAAAAACTAAAAAGGGGTAGCAAAGCAATCAATATTAATTAATAAGAGCGAGCCTAATATTCATTCATTCATGTCGTCATCCATATGAAGCAGTACAGGTTTTCTTCGAGTCTCAGATAATCAATCACGTGGAAAACAAATCCTACAAACCTAACCTAACAAACATAACATGTGACCTAAAAATGTTTCTTTATCTGAAGAAATCATTTCTAAAGGAATGCCATTGAAGATGAGGATGGGACCGACAAGCTCCGTTCCAAATTCTGTGAGTAGGAAGAAACACAAAACACGCACGATGACGTCTGGATTCATGTGGTGGGACAAGCACTATGCGTTCATCTGAACAAATTTACTGTACTACCCTTCTGGCGTACTACACACGCACACCATCTCTCTCTCTCTCTCTAAAGGCTTAGGCATATAATAATACTCCTATATCGCATGGCATGATGTGACTGTGAATCATCTCAGAACCACATCCGCATCATCCTAAACAGTACACCAAGATGATCATGGTTCTTTTTTTTTTTTATTTTATTAACAAATTTTATTTCATAGTAGTATAAGTCGTTGGCCCTTTCTAAATACAAAAAATAGAAAAGGCGTCTGATACCGTAGTAGCAGTATTAAGTTTTTTTTTTTTTTTCTAATCTTTAATAAAAATTTCAATGTTGTAAGAAATACTGTCCCTGCTATAGTTCTGTCCTGATCCTGATAGCGAGCTTCAGATCTCCGCATGCAAAACGAGAAATGTATGTCTTGAAGGGGCAATGATACAAAATCGGTCGCTCCTGTTTCTGATTTAACAAATGTGATTTCTTATAATTTCCATAAAAGTCGATATTTTTTTTTCTTTTGAAGGAAGCTTAATGAAAGGAAATTATAACGACAACATAAGCCGATTGTATGACCGTAAAGCATTAAACTTTTAGATCATGCAATGCATTAATGTAGTAGTAAGCACCGGTACCAGGCCCGTTTGCCCTGGCTACCATTCTACGCTAGGCACCCATTACAAAACCCTTCATTATTGTTGTAAATTCCTCAACAGCGCCGTCATCGGTGAATGAAGATAATTGCCTAATGCTAAATGGGAGACTACTGAATATCCCAAGAAGGAAATGTTCCGTTTTAGCGAGATTGAAAAATATTTTTAGAATAAGGAAAAATAGTTAGTGAGATTGAGGATTGTCCGAGATTGCATCCCATCCCTTTGACCCACGCACAAATGCTGGAAAGGTCCCAAATGGGAAATACTACTGACATTTAATTCTTCAACTTGGACTCCCGAAATACTTGGATTGCAGGTGTACGTAGCTGTGCAAAAGTTCTCTCCGTTTTTCTTCTTTCTAATTAATAAAAAAAAACTAACAAGTAATTTCCTGAAGTAGGAAGATTATTAGCTTTTTTCTTGGCTACCGAACGTAAACAAGCAAGCAGCATTGAAACCTGAAAGTGAGGAAGCGCAGGACGTCACGTACGTTGGAAGATGTGAAAAAAAAATTTGGTGGATTACTGGATTTGTGGGGACTAAATAAACAGCCCTTGAAATGTAGTAAGAGATTTTCTTTTAACTTTTTTTTCGGTGAGAATGAAGAATTACAAGCTTTTAGCAGCTAATTTAACTAATACGACTTTGTTCCTCTTCAACAAGCCACCAAAATTGATGGAGTGAGAGATCTAGGATCAAATCCTGCCGTCGGTCACAAAACAAAACGTGGCAAGCCAAAAAAAAGACTTTGTTCCTCTTCAAGTCAAATAAAAAAAAAAAAAAAAAGAAGCTTAGCAGACTTGAAATATACGACCAGATTCACCGAACCAGTCCTGCTATGGTAATTAAAATTAGTACATATTTTCCAACTCAAAGGAGGCAATACTCCTCAGTGGCAAGTTAAGCCTTTTTTGGAGTAGTACTATTTTCTTATATCTGGTTCAGCCTTCCTCCTCTCTAGTCTCTCTGTACATCATCTATAAATTAACAACGCAGCAGCTGAGTCGAAAATTCGTCCTCGCCTCTTCCTTCTCAAATTCCTCTTCCAAATTTATCCTCTACTTTTCCCCTTCGCTATCAATTAGTACCAATTACTAATATTCATTCAATTAGTAAAATTTGAACCAACAAAAAAAAAAGGAACTTGTTGTGTAATCACTCGCCTCGCGACAAATGGCCGAAACTGGGATCAATCGCAGCAACGTAGTCACGCCAACCAGAAAAAGGTCCGGCTCCGACGAGAATTGGGACCGCGATGACTTGGTTGTGGCCAAGAAACAAATGAAGCCCCTCACCCTCCGGCCCGATCAGATTCAGGACCCTGCCTCCGCTCTGGCCAATGCCCGTCACGAGTTCGGCGAGCATGGCGGCGTTAACATGTCCATCGAGGCCTCCGCCACCTTCACCGTCATGGAGCCCGAGACCATGCGCCGGATGTTTTCCGGCGAGCTCGGCCCCGACCGTGACTTCTTCATCTACAGCCGCCACTTCAACCCGACGGTGCTCAACCTGAGCCGCCAGATGGCCGCCCTGGAGGGAACGGAGGCAGCCTACTGCACGGCGTCGGGGATGTCGGCCATCTCGTCCGTGCTGCTGCAACTGTGCAGCTCCGGGGGGCACGTGGTGGCCTCCAGGACCCTCTACGGGGGCACCTACGCCCTCCTGTCCCATTTCATGCCGAGGGCGTGCAACATCACGACGTCGTTCGTGGACATCAGGGACCACCTGGCGGTGAAGGAAGCCATTGTGGAGGGGAGGACCAAGGTGCTGTACTTTGAGTCGATCTCGAACCCCGCGCTGAAGGTGGCGAACGTGCCGGAGCTGTGCCGGATAGCGCATGACAAGGGGGTGACGGTCGTGGTGGACAACACTTTCGCACCCATGGTAATGTCGCCCGGGAGGTTGGGTGCTGATGTGGTGGTTCACAGTATCTCCAAGTTCATAAGTGGCGGCGCCGACATCATTGCAGGTACATCACTATGCTTTTGTTGTTTCTTTTCTTGTGAATCATCCTCGTCTTCCCTCTTACTGATAGCACCGTTTTGTAACCAACCAACCTAGTAGTAGTACGGCTGTCCGTCTGGGAATCTTCGGCGGTGTTGTGTTCCAGGCTTCTTCTAGCCCTCTAGCCGTCTTCTAGCCTTCTAGTTCTATTTTGGGTAAAACTTGAAAGGGCTGCTGCTGTTAAAGTGTTTAACGCCACAGTCTAATTTTTAATTTCAGAGTCATTTTTGCACAAAAGCAACTTTTGGTCTCAGCCGCCAGGATGGGGGCTTTTAAGTTCCACT